ACACTGAAGAAGAAGCACTGAGAAAAGAAAAGCAGCCCTCTGCTGTAGCTTAATGGACCAGAGTGAATGCCTTCGGGCGATGGTCCATCAACACCCCTAAGACAACATAATTGGATCACTAAGCTAAATACCAATCATGTGCACTTTTGGCAGCAGGGATGAGTGTTACTCTCAGAAATCCTTCTGTTTCTCCTTTCCGCCCAGGAACGGCCCTTATATGCTGGTGACGCTTGTTGTCTCACACGCTAAAATAATGCATACTTCAAAGTAAGTCAGGATTGGCGTCTGTGAAACGGCTAATTGGAAGAGAAATGTTGACCGTTGTTTTTTGGGCCTTCCTTTCGGCTGTAATTCCGAAAACGTCCTACATTTCCTTTCCCGTAGGTGAGCGAACACCATCCCTCACAGCCTGGGGTTATTATTGTATCAGGGTAAAACTGCAGACGTTAGCGTTCGGACTGTGCCGCGAGAGGAATAATTAATGGCTTGCTAATAACACGCTGCGTACTGGCAGTTCTTGTATCCCGGCAACTTCCACACATCCATCTGCCCTGAAATCACGAAGACTGTACTAGAATTGGTCTGAATTTGCAGTAAATGACAAGCATTCAACACCAGAATCCAAACAGAGGGCTCTTGAAATGTTAACTAGAAGTTCATCGAGTGCTGCTATTAATTAGGCAAAGCTTTAAAGAAGTAAAGTCAGGACATGTTTGGTGTCCTAACTTTACGTCTTATTTTTGCTCTATGCACTATTTTGCACTATGAGGCTAATGTAGCTAGTTAATGGAAGTTTATACTCCACACATTACCATTGTGCAAACTGCTCACCGAAATCATTACACACTTGTCTCAAACTCTGTTGAATCTCAAATAAACTTGCTTATGTGGTTAATGACATTGTATGACACACTTAGCATGAGTGTCCACGATTTGTTTATTTAGTTTTGCACTGGAGTCATAAAGTTATGAAGCAAACAAGTAATGGAAGCCCTAATTAGCACTGCGCTAACAGTGAGTTGTTAATCTCAAACAGACTTAAATAGCCAAATAGACTCAGAGACAACACACACACACACACACACACACACACACACACACACACACACAACACACACACACACACACACACAAAAACAGCATTGACCAACGTGACAGGTCACCAGCAAAACCCACATGTGTTATGCGTATGGGTGACCAGCTAAACTTTAGGTTTAAAATTTTGGTTTCAACTACTGTTTTTAGCTATGTAGCACACTTTTGTCCACTTTTATAGATAACAGTAAGATGTTCATTAACTGAAACCACAAAGGCAAGTCTACTTGAGATTACTAAACAGCTCAGCATTGTTTAGACCAGCATGTGAGGATTCAGACATTCAGTTAGCACACTGCTAATTAGGGTTTCCATTACTTGTTAGCCACATTAGCCACACAGCTCCAGTGCCAAACTAAATAAATTGTGGACACTTGTGCAAACTGTGTGTCACACATTGTCAGTAACCACATAAAGAAGTTTATTTGCGACACAGTTTGAGAGAAATGTGTAGTGATTTAAGCGATCAGTTTGCATGATGTTAAGTTGTGGAATATCAGTTTCCATTGGATTGTTAGCTACATTAGCCTCTTGGCTAAAGAAGCAAACTCTGGACACCAAACATGTCTTGGCTGACTACCAGGGGAAAAACTGTGTAAACATGACTTTAATATTCCTTAAAGCTTGCCTCCAACTGTAACTGATATCATGATAACAGTACATTATTCAGTCTCAGAAGCCACTACAGCAAGTCTACTTGAGATTACTAAACAGCTCAACGTGCTTTAGGAAAACAGGTGAGGATTCAGACATGCAGTTAGCATAATGCTAATTAGGGCTTTCGTTGTTAGCCACATTAGCCACACAGCTCCAGGGCAAAACTAAATAAATAAGTTTGCTTCCAACTGTAATTGACATCACGATAACAGTACATTATTCAGTCTCAGAAACCACTACAGCAAGTCTGCTTGAGATTACTAAACAGCTCAACATGCTTTAGGCAAGCAGGTGTGGATTAAGACATGCAGTTAGCACAATGCTAATTAGGGCTTGCATTACTTGTTGGCTCCAGTGCAAAACAAAATAAATTGTGGACACTTGTGCAAACCGTATATCACACATTGTCAGTAACCACATAAGCAGGTTTATTTGAGATTCAACACAGTTTGAGACAAATGTGTAGTGATTTAGGCGATCAGTTTGCATGATGCCAAGTTGTGGAATTGTTTGCTACATTAGCCTCTTGGCTAAAGAAGCAAACTTTGAAGACCAAACATGTCTCGGATGACTACCAGGGGAAAACTGTAAATATGACTTTAGTATTCCCTAAAGCTTGGTTCTAATCAAAATCGTAATTGCCATATTAGCCACATAGCTCCAGAGCAAAACTAAATAAACAAAGTTTGGACATCTAACACATCTTGGCCGACTGTCTCCATTTAGGGTAAGGGATGAACTGTCTAAAATTAATTTTCCATCCTTTAAACATAATAAATGGCCATGTCTTTTTACATAATTACAAATGAATCTCATTATTTTGCAGTCAACCGTTTATAATCCACATTAAATTTTACACCAACTGACACTTTCCTTTACTGCTAGGAGGAGAAATGCTGTAGAAAATGTAATTGACTAGCCAAACCCTGGCTGACCTCTGAGGACACAACATGGAGACAGTAGAAAGGGCTTATTGGTTATTGACCTGCTTCGCTGCGCTAGCAATAAGACCTGCTTTTCAGTTCATGAAGAAAATGAATCTTGTACCTATGAATGATTTAACTGGCCAATAAAGAGAGTCAGCGGCACGCAGTGCAGTAATAAAGTCGATGTGAGAATACGCCGAAGCCAGGCAGTTGTATGTAACTAACAGGCTGGGGATGTTGTAAAGAGACGTGTTTTCAAGGACGTTTGAATTCAAAACAAAGCTCAGGCTTTAAAACTGTATTTGCACTTGAGTTAAACAGTCATTCCTTATGCTTGTTTAAACAAAAGGAAATAAAGTTAAAATAAGGCTTGCTATGGATGGTGGTGTGTATAGTCTGGGGATGTAGCCTAGTGCAACAGTTGAAAGCCTGGCTCTGTAACGTTATGCCCTAGAATGCATCCTCTAGTGGTATTTAATAGCTTATGGCCAGCAAAGATGATTGTAGAAATTGATCTAAATTGATATAAAGTTTGCAGGCCTGCAGTAAGCTATGGATATATTCACAACCAAACTATGTGCACGACATACTAGGGCTGCATGATACAACAAAATACCAACATTGCAATTATATTGCTACATACTACGATGACATGCCTGTGATGCCTGTTAGGATGCACCCAGCAAACAATGAATGCAGATACTGCAGCCTTTTGTGATATTAGTACTGCAAAGACCAATGTCAAAATAAAGATACATCATGCAGCCCTAATACATACTACACGATTAATGTCACAGATCTGGTTTAGAGCTTAGTAACATTAGGATGGGCATGGTTACTAAAATATATATATATATATATATATATATATATATATATATATATATATATATATATATATATATATATAAAATAATATGCTTATATAAATATATGCATAAGAAACTCTATATATAAAATCCTATGCAAACACTGTTTTGCACGTCAGTGCATTCTAAAATGTGTCATGGCGCAAACTGCCAAGTCTTGTATCTCCGGCATCCAGTCAACTGTCATAGCAGACCAGTATTTTTACAAGCCAGCTGCAGAACTGGTCCACTTGTATAAACATATGATACATCTTCGCCTCTTCATTCTAATAAAACTGTTAAAGCAGCAACGTTGTAGCAACGTTTTGGAATAAACACCATACTGACATAAGAATGCATAGTGACTGTTCAGCAGGACCATGCATTTTCAAAGTCTTGGCTGGCTACAGTTATCTGCATTCATGTTCTTGCGTTGAGTATGTTTATGGCCTTAACCTTCTCCAGTTTCAAACCGAAGCCACGCGGCATGAGCGGCAAACCTGAACTGCTTCCCAACAGCACCGCAGATGAGATGCAGAGACCATTTATCAGTCCACATTTCTGCGTGTTCATGCAAAGGATATCTTGTAAATGTCTTGACTGACTGTCAGCACAGTCTTAAGTTGTGCTGCTACTTGTAACTGATCAAATTATGTTTATGTAGACAACATTTGAGAGTCATCAACTGTTTAACTTTGAGGACATCCAAGCAAATTTACCTTTGCTGTGATTATAGACTGGCCTTGGCTACATCACTATTTTTTTCAGTGTATAGTTGTACATTCATTACAGAGGACAAAAACTTTTGATATATTTTGGAAAGATGAAAATATAGTGTTTATGGGAAATGATGAAGGGTGCAGGTAACTGAACTGGGGGAGCAATTCTGCCTTCAGTGAATGGAGGCAGTGACTACACCATATGCAGGACAGAAGGGAGAATCATAGCCACAGGATTTCAATTACTGAATTTAATAGGTACTTTGGATAAATGTTTTTACCAGACGTTGGGATTTTATTTTGCCAGTCCTGCAGATTTTTTCCGGTCAAATACCAGAACTCTGATTCAGAAAGGAGGATATGAACTTTTGCAGTCATATGCAAAAGTTTGGACCCCTGGCAAAATGCGTTGATTTTCTAAGGGAAAATAAGTTCCTCTACAGCGATAAAACATTTTAGTGCAGAATCTCTATTTAATTGTTGGGTTTAACATTCTGGGAAAAAAATATATATATAAAATGCACTATAACTTTTGTACAGGCCACTATGTTGTATTTTTCCCCAATATGTTAAATTCAGCAAATAAACAGGAATTGTGCATAAAAATATGCAAACGTGTTCTCTGTGGAGACTTTGGCTTCACTTTGAAAATCAACATAACATGTAATTTGATGAGGGCACCCAAACTTTGCATACAACTGTATATGTGGTCATTGGAGAAAGAGACTAAAAATAAGGGTGTGTGTATATCATACCTGTTCAGGTTTAAGGCCGGGAGGCACCCAGGCGTACTCCTCGAGAGCGCAGCCCGAGTCATCGTCTGACGTGGAGTTCCTCTGGAAGTCGTACATCAGCTTGGTCACAGTCTTCTCCATCTCCAGAGGCATGACCGTCACAACATGATCCTCACGAGGACACTTACAGTGCAGACAGATCTTCCTGCAAGCAAACAGATGAAAACATATGAGTCTGGAAAACACTTAGGAGCCACTTCAAACCTTGATGACAAATTAAGAGCAAAACATAACAACCAAAGAACATCAGACATACAGTTCGGTACACTGATTCTTTCATTTGCTGGGTAGGTTTATGGAAACAGGTTTGATCTGCCAAACCTCTAAGCTTTGTTAAAACAAACCAGGATTGTAAGCTATTCCAAAAGCATTCTGACTGATCCTCACTCAATATCCTTCATCTGTTCAGAATTTAGTGTGGACATCCAAACAGCTACATGGCTAAAAAAATGGACCTGGACTCAAACCAGAGCAATAACAGAGGAGAACTAATTATGAGTTCAACCAGGTCATTATGAATTCAAAGGGACAATCACCAGATGCAGCCAGTGGGAGGTGCTCTACTGCAGACCAGTGATGCTGATTTGTCAAATCTATCGCAAAATTAAATGATTTTGAGAATTTTGTTTAGAATTGTTTAGAAATCAGGAACCATGTGTATGAACACAACTCCTTTTTCACCAACTGAAAAAGCCATTTTTCTTTAAATGGGAAATAATGAAAAATATCTGCTTCGCTGAATTCAAACGTAAAAACAGTTCAGAATGGGTTGATGGGAAATGGTGCATTGTACACTCTTAACAAGAAATGTTCTATATTGTTAAAAAAAGGGTAGAAGAACCCTTTTCCATGCTATATAAGACCCTTTTCAAAAAGTCTATATAGAGCCATCTACAGCACATTCTCCATCAATCTGAAGGACCTTTTCATGATGCAAAGAACCCTTAAATCATGCCAAGGGTTCTTTGAGTGTCCATGATTCTATTTAGAGCCATTTTCCTGACTAAAGAACATTTGAAGAACCATCTTTTTTAAGATTGTAGGGAAATTTACTGATTACTTTACAGTGATGATGACAGGAACCTGCGTTTGCGATGTCTATTAAGCAAATATAGCCATTTTATCCATACTATTGAAAATGACCACTGAACCTACACAGTTTTATACCTTCTCTCTTAATTATCGTAAACAGTGTCTCAAGCATCATTACACTGTTATATAAGCTATCCGAGGCTTTAAATGCTTTAAACACTCTGTTATAAACTAATCTCTTGTAGAAGGTAGCTGGCTTTTATGTAAAATCAGAAGCTCTGCAAAATCTGAGGCAGTGGCCATCACAGACATGCTTAAGAGTTACCAATACTTTTTCAGCTCGGGTTGTCACGGTAACGAGCTGGCGAACTCAGTGTTCGACAGGGCGAATGTTCACCTCCTAGAGACGTGCTTTTATTGCTGACTCACTGTTAAACTACTCAAACATGACTCATCAGACTTTTTCACTTTTCCAAATAGCTCACACATAAAAGCCGAGCCAGCTGAAAGCTCAGTTGACTGAAACTCATTTTTCACACGCAGGAGAGTGAGATCACATTCCATCACTTCTATACAGTACAGCAGGTTAGGCTGGGAGGAAAAAAGAGAATGTATTCTTTAGTTTACACTGAAATAGGGCTGCATAATAAGGACAGAGTACATGCAGTTATATCTCAGTATACTGTGATTACAATACGCAATATACAAAAAACCTCTTTATGTAACAAAGTCACAAACTGGCTTGAATCGTATTTTGACCAAACTGATTTTACGTTTCTTGATTGCCTTCTGGAACATCAGAAGTTGGTCAGGATACTCGCAGCACACAGTGAAAACAGACTAAAGGACTACTCCAGCTAGACCTGTACCCAGTGACAGTTAATCTTCTACTAAATACAAGAAAACGTGTCAAAGGCTACACTCAGACCACAGGTAAAAGTATCCCAAAATAGATCTACTGTTCAAATCTGATTTTGTTCCTTGGTTGTTCAGGTTTTTTGTATAAAAAGGCCTATATCTGACATTAGTCTGAACAGATCACACTCCTAAGCTCACCCACATTCACAAAAGAACACTGATCGACCCAGCACGCTCATCCAAAACATACACTCCTCTATATTTGCTTAATATTACTGGACCCCTTTCACATAACATCGAACTTTAACGTGTGCGATCTGCTACTATACGCTTGTAGGTGCAAACAGTAGACACCAAAACGACCACACTGGACTAAGTTTACAGAAATAAGTAAAAGCAGTGAATTTCTGTGCTTGTTTTAGCTGTGAAAGCTGATCAAACAGAGCAAGAAAGCTCAGTTTCATCTGTTTACCTGCCAAAGGAGCACAAGCTTAGTTTTAATAGTGATACACAACGAATGAAGAGATTCATTTGACTCTTGTTTCTCTTTTTTTCCCAAAATATCCCTGAAGTAAATATGATTTTAAATAGTTATTAGTTTACTTTGTCGCATTAGAAAATATTTATTATTTGTTCACACTGTTCACTCGTTTTGCACCTTTCCAAAGCGAAAGATGGAAAAGCAACAGTAGTAACATATTTAGGATCTGCTCCTATATAGAACATGAAATAATCATGAAAATTCAGTTGGACTGAAAAAGTCATGAATTCCAATCTGACTGTTGAGACAGAGGTCACATTGCCACGTATCAGACACATATCAGATTTCAGTACCATATTTACCCAAATCTGAATTGAAACTGCCAGATTCAAAATGTTCTCTGCTGTTCACACTGTCGCACAAAAGACAAATCTGTGTCACATATGAAGAGAAATCATGGATTTAGACAACTTTTACCAGCAGTATGAATGTAGCCAAAGGCTTTGTTCACACAGCAGGTAAAAGTGGCCAAAATCCGATCTTTTTCTTCATATGTGACACAGATGTGTATCTGTGTGTCAGTGTGAACAGCAAAAAAAAAACAACAAAAAAAAAAAAACACACTGAATCTGACAACTTCAATTCGGATTTGAGACGCTTTCATATGTGGTACTGAAATCCGATATGTATCTGATATGTGCCAATGCGACTCAGTCTGAACAGCCAGATCAGAATTCATGTCTTTTACATCAATCCAACTCGATATTTGTCAGTATTTCGTGCTGCTGAGACCTCAAACATTTGGAGTGATGTTTCTGTACAAACAAAATTAGAAGATACTTATCCAAACTGCTCCATGTTCGAAGAGATTTCGAAACAAATGACTGAACACGGTTGTAGGGGAACTTGGCTGTAGTGTTGAAAGTTAAAAGTTAAAAGTCTGAAAACAGAGTATAAAAAAAGCAAGGAGGCGAACCAAAGAAGTGGCTGTGGCCGAAAAGCATGCTCTTTTTACAGCAAGCTCAAACGCAGAAACGGCTGTTACTGTTCACTTCATTTTAACTGTGTACCTCTGGATGACTGTGCCACATGAAGCATTGTTCGTTTGCATGTCAGTTTAGGAGCATAATCTGTTCAGACTAATGTCTCGCATAGAAAGCATTTAAAAGACATTGTGAACAGCCTAACAAAAAAATCAGATTTTGTGAGAAAATCAGATTCGGGCTACTTTTACCTGCTATGTGAACATAGCAAAAGTGACCCTAATCTGAATTGAAATTGCCAGATTCAGTGTGTCACTGTTCACACTGTCACACCACAGACAAATCTGTGTCACACTCGGAGAAAACGATTTAAATTCGGGCAACTTTACCTGCAGTGTGAACACAGTCAAAGCAGCCCAAATCTGAATTGACTCAGTGGGATTCAATGTGTTTTTTGCTGTTCACACTGTCGCACCACAAACAAATCTGTGTCACACATGAAAAAACAGATCGGATTTGGGCCACTTTTACCTGCAGTGTGAACACAGCCAAAGCAGCATAAATCTGAATTGAAGTTGCTGGATTCAAAGTGCTTATTACTACTGCTCACATTGTCAAACAAAGGACAAATCTGTCAAATATAAAGAAAAAGCCTGGATTTGGGCCACTTTTACTTGTAGTGTAAATGCAGCCAAAATTAATGCTGAATGCTACAGACGCAGCAGACAGAGATTAGGTTGAAAACACACTACAGTACTCTTTTAATGAGCTTATTTGCATATTGCAGCCTTCTGCAAAAAGCCAATAACAAACAATGTACCGTGAAGGCCTGCACTGAAGCTTTACTCTCTCTCTCTCCCTCTCTCTCGCACACACTCTCATGCCACAGCTCCACCTCATTGTCAGTCAACATGGCCACATTTGGTTTCAACATGGTGAGCCTTCAGATTCCAGCGAAAACCCTTAACACATCCTGTCATCAGCAAACACACACACACACACACACACACACACACACACACACACACACACACACACAAGTCAAGCACTTTGCGTCTGGTCAGTCTCCAGCAGGGCAGCTTCAGCTACGCCAAACCTCACTCTCTGTGCCTCCCGAGGCAGCTGGTCAGATCTCCAGCCCCGCCTGCCTCAGGGAGAACAGCAGAACACACTGTCCGCTCACAGCCAATCCCATTAGCACCTCAAACGCCGGACAGGCGGCAGGGTGGCGGGGGCACATGCTGGCCTCAGCCTGATGAGCTGAATCATTGACTCAGACACATCGGACCCACAATGTCGACTTCAAGCAAAGACTGACCATGTGCACACCACAGACCTGAAGAGACTATATAGTGCAGAAACATGGTCTAAACCTTGTCTCTCTGAAACAGTAGCTTTATAGCAGAAGGAAAACACTTCTTAACAGTAACCTGTCCCTTACATAGCATTACTGATCCATTCAGAGAATTGGTCTTTTTCTTTTTTACCTCATTAAAACATGGAGTGCATTTTCACACTGGCCAAAGATCACAAAAACTGCTGCTATTTTATCCTGTGGTAAACAATAAAAAAGCTCAGAAGCAGACACGTTTTGTCCTGTCCACATTTTTCACTGGATCCTCTGAATTATGAGGTCGTTTAGCAGTCAAAGTAGGAATAATGATTCATTCATGCTATGAGCAGCTACCACTCCTGCGCCACTGAAATGACAGCGCATGAAAATAAGTTTAACTATCAAACCTCTGTTATATACCAACACCAGCTACTCAAACTGCATCCTCAAACCTCCAG